GCGATGATCATTACCTTCTGACGTGGACGTCCATAGGCCTTCGGCCATCTCGTCACTTGTCAAGGAGAGAATCCTTCTTGTTACTTGTAACAATAGCTTAGTAAAAGAGTATATTCTAGCCCTAGATAAGTAATATATATAGGAAGCTTAAGTGTAAAACTTCTTAAGCATTAAGCTATTCTATCCACCAGACCAGCTTCGATGGATATCGCTCGCAAGGACACCTCAAAGCTCGACAGTCACAGAATACTCTGTGAATGCACCGGGAGGGTTGCGGTGACCCGCGACCTCAGCCTTCTCGACTTCGTCCCTGATCTCCTGGACCTCCTCCTTCGAGAGATGCACCTTGAGCGCACCAACATTCTCCTCCATATACTGAATCTTCTTCGTGCCGGGGATTGGTATGATGTCCTCACCCTGTGCCGACAACCACGCGAGCGCCAGTTGGCCCGGCGTGCAGCCCTTCTTATCTGCGAGGGCCTTAAAGCGGTCAACTAGCACGAGATTCTTAGCAAAGTTTTCGGGACTAAAGCGCGGCACGACGCGGCGGAAGTCGTCGGGCGCAAAGTCGTCGGTACTCTTGATCTGACCCGTTAGAAAGCCGCGACCTAGCGGAGCGTATGCGAAGACGGTGATGCCAAGCTCGCGGCAGGTGGAGAGCAGGTTTGTTCCTGTCTCGTTCTCGATGTCTAGTTGGAACGGGTTGTACTCGACCTGGACGGCATCGACGGGTGCGACTGCGTAGGCTCGTCGTATGGTGCTGGAGGCGCATTCAGAGATGCCGATGGCTTTGATTTTACCATCTCTGATTTAGAAGTATCAGTATGGGCGCAGCAAATGCCTGTCCTGGATAGGACATTAGAACTCTAGCTTACTTCTTTGCCTTGGCCAATAGCTCCATCGTCTTCTCGACAGGCGTCTTGGGGTCAAGACGGTGGACGTAGAAGAGATCAATGTAATCAACACCCATCTTCTGCAGACTGCCCTCGAGACATTCGGTGAGGAACTCGAGGCTGTTGTCAGCCGAGATGTTCCACTCGCCCTTGTCGTCGAGTGCGACTTTGACGCCGAACTTAGTGGCCAGGAAGATGTCGGCGCGACGCTCAGGATGCAGCTTGAACCACTTTCCGATCAGGACCTCGCTGTCGGCATAGCTGTTTGCTGTGTCCCAATTCGTGTAGCCGAGCTCCCAGGCACGATCCAGAAGCGCCAGACGCTCTTCGTCATTACTGGGAGAGTTTCAGAACTGCGTCCTAGGTCAGGGCACACATGAAGCAGCTTACCCAGTAGGTCCGTACGCCATACTCAGTCCCATCATTCCGAAACCGAGAGCGGGCACCTGTCGTCCTGTCTTGCCGAGAGGCTTGGTGGGCAGAGATGCTGGAGGTACCATGGTGAACTAAGGGAGGAACTAGGCGACAAAGATGGGAGAGCAGATACTACGCTAGTCAATGAGCTCGAGAAAGAGACGGCGGTAAGTTGAAAATTGAGCGAGAGGAGGGGTATCGGCGTGGCTTTATAGGCTCACGCATATAGACGCCGGAAAACATCCGCTTTAAGCAATCCCCATGCGAAGTGCTTCAAAACAAGATTTCGATGATTCAACCAAATCCAAGAGCATACCTACTAAAATGGCTAGATCCGACCGGGCCGCGCCGGCAACTACAATGTGCCCACCGTGGCAAAAAGGCTAGCATAAGGGCCTGTTTGGTTGTGCGTTTTATAGTTGCGTTCTCGATACCTATTCGGACATAGAGCTTTTGTATGGGGTGGGGGAGTGGGGTGAGGGGGCGGGCTAGCGTTGCGTTTTTGCTGTAGCTAGGCTTATCCAGATATTAATAGCTAGTTATTCAGCTAGGTATATATGGAAAAGATAAATTATAGTAATTTATAGATATCATTTATATATTCTTAATTTCAAAGCAAAATCTTATATATAATAAACTCAGAGCTGAAAGCCTTATATTAGGTTTTAAGCTTAACTATTATTTAAATCTTTATGATTCCTTTACTAGAGGGCTAAGGTGACGAATTGTCTTATGTTTAGGAAAAATAACAAATATACTATTCGCTAAATGAATATAAAAATCAAAATGATAGCAAATGACTATGTTCTCGACCAAACGAATGATTCTATCGCAGCCCGCAGAAATGACTGCAGGAAATTGAGCTAGCATGCAATCACCTCCTGCCGTTTGGCTCCCACATCTGCGAGCCCAGTATAAACGTGCAGCTTGTACCGCCGAGCTGTGACGTGGAAGAAGATGTAGCCGTTGAAGAATTCGTTCCATTTGCGAGCATACACAAGGTCAGATCTGGTGTCCAGAAGCCCAACCACGCGCGAATTTGCCGCGATTGTCTCGGCAATGACAGTTTCGAGCATGGCAAAAGGCTCGCGTTGCTCACAGACGGCTCGGGTGTTGATGTAGTTGTCCGTCTCGCCAGCGAGGGTCTCCTTATGGAACCTGTGACAACAGTGATTGGTTAGCAAGTGCTGCAGATACAAGGAGAAAATCATAGGCTGTCAGGAACAGGTCCATACGTACGATAGAATATCATTCGCGTAGTTAATGTAAGTCATCATATCCGGTATGCCTTGCATATACGCTCCTATATCCGGGCACTCGTCTCTTGGGAAGATGAAATACGCGAACGCCTCAGGGACTCCGCTCCTGTCGCGGACATAGTCGGGCCACCTTTTTGCTTCCTCGCAGTGCTGCAGGCTGTGGAGCTCGCTGCGTCTCTCTAGTAGGGTAGCGGCGACGAATTGCAGCGACGAAAGCACGATGAAGTTGGCCACGAGGGGTTCGAAATGGATTGACATTTCTTGGAGGTTCTCTGCGAAGCGCTGCAGGAGAGCAGATGGCTGAGGCTCCCCCTTCTGGAAGCGCTCCTGGAAACCGATAAGGTCATCGTTACCTTCGTCGTCGTCATCGATGTAGATGGCTAGCCAGGAGTATATAGCTATGTGTAATTTCACAGCAAAAGAATGAGTAGGGTAATAGGCCTTAACTCGCGTAGTTAGTAGAAGTCTAAGTATACGCTAAACTCGAGGCAGATAGCACTGGAGTCATAGAAGAAGAACACATACACAAGCGAGGGTAAGTCCAACATCGAAGTACCGCTGGGCATACTCAGACTTGTATGGAGCCCCCGAGCGGATGGCATACTCGAGCATAGCAGCTTCAAGGGCAGGGCGTGTATTTTCATGCTGAGGCGTTCGATATTTGAGATCGCGGAGGAGTTTGGTGAAAATGGGGCCCAGCTTGGGGATGGCCACGACGGGAGCCTCGTCTTTAGCAGAATGTCCCATTTTTGGTGTTGAACTTAAAATATCGACTTGAAGAAATACGGTCCTGTAGCTTCAAAAGAACAATCTTCGGAAGTCTGTCTTCATAGGGCTATGTGAAGAAGCGCGTGTTGTTTATAACTAAACATTTACACACGACTTGATAACGCCCAGATCCCATTCCCCAAGTTGCTTGGACCGCCGGCGGCAACGCCACTGTTCTCGCGTTTTCGCTTCTTTCTAAAGAACCTGTAAGCTCAATTCCAAAATAGGCAGAAGTTTGGAGGTACACTGTAGTACTGTCCCATATGCACAGACCTACTTCATACGGGATACGGTAACTACCCGTTTTGGAAAAATTCCGCTGCGGAGCTAGCTTCGCTAAAGACTCTATCAGAGCTGCAGATACCGGCAAGGCCATAATGCGCAGGGAGTTAAGCACATAGAGCCGGCAATGGCGTGATTATTTTTTGGAAGATTCCGAGGGCGGTAATCTGCCTCAATTTAGTGGTTAACCGCGTTCCTTCTTGGTTGCGTGGTGAATTCTCTAACACATGCTGCCAATTAACACACGATACAGTCTCAAAAGGACTAGGCCGGCGGCGAAGGACTTCTGGCTGCGGAATACAGTAACAACAACCGTGGTTATAAGGTGACCTTCATCCCCCATGGTTGACACACAAAGCGAATACTCACATACAAGACTGCATCGAGATGGAGATCGTCAACAATAAAACCCTGCCGGAGTTGGCCTGGCTTCTTCTTGGGCCTCTAGTACTCTTTTATATATTCAAGGTGTTCATCTACAACGTATACTTCCATCCCCTTCGCAAGTTCCCTGGCCCTTGGATAAACAAAATTAGCATTGTATGCACCATATTTCAGAGCTCTGCTTGGCCCCAACACTGACGCCTGTAGATCCCCCATCTATACACGGTTTTCCAGGGTAAACAATCCTTCGAACTCCTCAAGCTCCACCGCAAATACGGTAAGTGCCTTATGCTCCCCACAATAGCACGACCACAGCCAACACTACTAACTCGTCTGTGATCTTCAGGCCATGTTGTTCGCTACGGACCAAATGAACTCAGCTTCAGCTCAGCCCGTGCTTGGAAAGACATCTACGGCTCCCGCCCAGGCCACCAAACCTTTACCAAAGGCACCTGGTACGATGGTCTAAGCATCTTTGCAGCCCAAGATGTACGCTCCATCATCACGGAGCGTGACCCCGCGAAACACGCCGCGATTGCTCGGACATTCGGCGGTGCCTTCTCACGTTCCTTTTTGAACGAGATGGAGCCTATGATCAACGACTACATCGACCGCTTCATCCAGCACGTCAAGTCCAAGACGGCCAACGGCGGCGTCGTGGACCTAACTTTCGGCTACAGCTCCATGACATTCGACATCATCGGCGACCTGGCTTTTGGACAAGACTTTGGCGCCATCGGGAGGGAAACCATCCACCCATTCATCCTCGAACTCAACGAATCCTTGACATTCACCAGCTTCCACGAGGCGATTCAGCAATTCCCGGCTTTGGGCCCCATCGCTCGCTTCTTCTTCCGGGAAAAGGTTAACAAGCTCGAAGAGACCGCGCGGAAGGGAGGCGAGTTCGCTCTCCAGGTTATGAAGAAGCGCGTCGCGGAGCATGACACAACGTCGCGCAAAGACTTCTTGACTAAGGTATTAGAGCAGCGCGCCAGTTCCAAGGTACAGATCTCGGAGATCCAGCTCGCTGCGCAATCATGGGACTTTATCGGCGCAGGCACAGAGACGACAGCTTCGGTTATGACATCCACGACGTACTACCTACTCCGAGACAAGAAGCTTCTTGCCGAACTCACGGCCGAGATTCGCGCGGCTTTCCCTAACGCTGATGCGATTACGAATGCGTCCACCGAAAAGCTAGAACTTCTCCATCGCGTGTGCCTTGAGGGCTTGCGTCTTCCGACGGGAGCACCACCCATCCTACCGCGTCTAGTTCCCAAGGGCGGTGACACCGTCGATGGTCATTTCATTCCGGGAGGCACTCCAGTTACCATCGCCCCTATGGTTGCAGCACTCGACCCGCTTAATTTCAAGGATCCTCTGGAGTTCAAGCCGGAGCGGTGGTTGGGCAAGAGCGGTGACATTTTGGAAGCGAGCCAGCCCTTTTCGTACGGTACCCGCGCATGTGCAGGAAAAGCGTAAGTTCCATCCCCTTATACCCCCTTGATCACATATACAAAGAAAGTCCGACTAACGACCTGGTCCTATTTTAGCATCGCGTTGATGGAAGTCCGTGTTACAATCGCCAAGATGCTCTACACGTTCGACATGGAACTGGAGAACCCTGACTTGGAGTGGACCGGCAACGATTTCAACAACCTGCTGCAGTATGGTCTGTGGGTCAGGCCACTCCTGAACGTCAAGGCCCGTGTGGCTAGTAAATGAGGTCGCCTCTGGTTGCAACTCAGTTGAGGAGAATAAGATTCGTACTTGGTGCCCTCGTCTACTCACACACTGCCCACTGCCACTCTTAAGATTCCTTGAATTTTGTTGCCGTTCTGTTCATGTACTTCACTCTCTTATTTTCCTTAGCTTAGAATTGTCGTAAAATACAGCACCTTCGTCGAACCGTCTTCTCACGTAAGACCTCTTTTTGTCGAGCTATCTGTCACATTGCCAGGTTTCAGATGAAAGGTCACCTAGTGGAATATAGAATGAAAGAGCATTCGTATGTAAGGGGCTGCGCTCCGGGGAGCAATCGCGAGGTATACAAGAGGTTGTATTCGATGAGGAGCTAAGCTCCCAAGCTACGTAGCTGTCTATA